CATCACTATATTGCAATACATTTTGGATCCAATGCGTTTGAACTCAAAGGGATTTTCCCTTCGAGTCCACTAAAATTTTGACATATCATTTGATGCTCAATTGGCCATCACCTAACTAGTTGAAGCTTTAATGCTGATTATGACTAACAAAATTATTTTTAAATAAAAATTGATAAGATATCAACTCTTTGTAAACAAAAATTGACAGAAAACTCCAAACCCTCACGTTCTCAGACTTAAGCCCTTCTCCTCCAGCCATTAGTGGGAAGACAAAATCTTCCTCACAGTTGTGGCTTTGAATATGGAAGACAAACCTTCACGTTCTCAGTCCAAACACAACTCAAACCTTGCTCCCCCAACTGTTAATGGGAAGGCAAAGCCAACGGTTCAAGAAGGAAGGATGAAAAACCCTAAACACATACAAATAGCAAATCACCCTTTAATTTGAACACTCTTGACGTTTGAAACTTTCCATTAATACCGTTTTCATCGTTGTTAAAATCCACTCTGTTGTCGTTTGAACACATTGGTGAAGGCTTGTTGTTGTTAATGGTTGGGGGAGCAAGGTTTAAATCCGAGAAAGGGAGGGTTTTGGAGTTTTCTGTTGATATCTTATCATTTTTTTATTTAGAAATAATTTTTTCAGTCATAAGCAACATTAAAGCTTTGGGCAATTGTAGGTGATGGTTAATTGACCACCAAATGATGTATAAAAGTTTTAGTGGAATCCCTTCGAGTCCAAATGCACTGGATTCAGAGTGCCATATAATACAACTTATTTTAAGTTTTTAACATTTTAAGCCGCATTTTAAACTTTCTATAAAAGTGAAAAGAAGGAAAATAAGTAATGATAAATATTAATGAAATTTATATTGGTTTCTTTATAGAATACATCACCATCATCATCTAAGCTATCACAATTATACAAAATTGACTACATTAGTCCTGTTTTGAAATGTCAATATATTTAATGTCATATTCTTTTGAGTCAAATATTTAATGGCATATTCATTCTTAAATTATGAGCACTTAAACCCATTTCCTTTGCAATCTACCCTTGGCCCTAGAACAGAAATGAGGCAAGTTTGGGGAGGGTTTTATAAATTCTAGACCCTACCTGTCTCTCTAAACCTCCCAATCCATACACAATTAGTCCAAAGCCTATAGCAAGTTAGATTTTGAGAATCCAAACCCTCCCATTAGGGGTGTAAATAGAGCAAATTCAAATCGAATTAGGCTTGATTCGAATTTGAAACTGATTAAAAATATAAGCATTTGAATTCGATTCGATATTCGATGGTTTTTGAAAACACTAAATCGAATTCGAATTCGTTTATATAATCGAATATCGAAATCGAAAATCTCTCTGACTTCTCCAGATGAGGAAGAAGAATTCTTGTTCAAATTTTTTTCTCATTCTCTATTGATCCAACCTCCAAGAAAAAAAAGAAAATACAAATCAAAAAAAATGTTTTTGAATAATAGCCATCGATTTGGTATTGCTATGTTGGTGTGTTCTGCAACAATCATGGAGAGATCGCTATTGGTGTGTTCTGCTATTTGGTATTGCTATGTTCAACTCTACAAAATGCATAAAGAGAGAGGAATAAAAAATGCAATTCAAAAATAAAGAATCAAAAAGACTTAAACTTGTAAAATTGTAATAAACCGTAGAAGAAATGCAGCATGAACAGAAGGACTGAGAAGAATAAGAAAGTGAATAGTAAAATTGAAATGATTCAAATGCAAGTAGTGGGAGATAATAAATGAGACAAGCGCCATTTGATAACAAAATATTTAAATAATATTTAAAAAGTGGAAGATAATACATGCTTCATATATGGGTTCGCCCCCCCCCCCCAGGTTCGCCCCCAAAAACATCCCACGGACTCACAGCGCGTTCGTTCTCAGAACTCCCCCCTTCGAGTTCCGCCAGTCAACGCCGACGATCGTTCCGGCAGATTTGTTTTTATTCTCAGTTCTCATATCTGTTTTTTCTCATTTTTTACGTTGTTTTTTGTTTTTTCTGATTTTCTATCTTCCGTCCTCAGAAACCCGTCGGAGCTTGCCCCCCTTCGAGTTCCGCCAGGAGCAAGGCCTTTGGCCTTTGCAACGAGTTAACCAAAGTCTTACCCACCCCACCTGTACTATGATCCCACAGGAGCAAGACCTTTGGCCTTGCTGCAACAACAAGTGCTGAAGCTGTATTGGGTGCAGAGGGAGGGACAGGTGGAGAGTATGAACTATCCTGGGATACAGGTTGCTGTTGAAGCTGCAAGAATGTTAATCCAAACATTCTGAGGATTAAAAAGTGTCAAAGATGAGTTAATCGGATCAGATGAGCCTGCAAGTCAATGAATAAGTGTCAAATATGACTGCATATAAAAACACAGATATGAGAACGGAAATTACCTCCGATAAATAAATCTTCCGGAATGATCGTCGGCGTCGACCGGCAGAACTCGAGGGGAGAAAGCTCCGGCGGGTTTCAGTTCTGAAAACGGAAGGTCGAAGGTTCAGGTGAGGATGAAATTCGAGAGAGAGAGAGAGAGAGAGGAGTGAGAGTTTGAGAGGGAATGACCTTTTGGGCGAAGTGGGTTAGCTCCGCACGTTGAGAGTCTAAATCGCGTGTGGAAGGACACGCGGCGCGCTGTGAGTCCGTAGGATGTTTTTGGGAGGCAATCTAGTGGGGGGCGGATGCGAGGGCACCCCACTTGTACATCTCAGGATGCATGCTAGATGTGAATGTGGGGCGCCAATGCGCTGTGTAAGATGTGCAGTATCAGATCGTGCTGGGAGGGTGTTGGAACTTTTTTTGTCGGTAGGTGATCCCAACTCTACTGTTTCTTGCTGCAATCTGAAAGACTACTTTGTATATGGTGGTGTTTGGAGTTATGTACAATAATCAGGAGTTAGGATTTTATGAGTTTTAGTGTATTCTCTTTAGTTTTGGGAAAGAGTTGTCCATTAGACATTTTGCAGGAACTACCTCATTTGATGTTGTTGATTTTACCGTATTTAAGTTTTGGGAAAATCTCTTAAACTACCTCTCCAATGCCTCCTGAGAGCAGGTAGAAGCATCGCATTTACACCCCTTCGATTACCGACCGGATACATTCAATGTAAAGGTAAGAGGCATTGTTGAAAATTTCAATACATTTAATTTTAATTTTGAAAATTTAAAAATCAATGAAGGGCATATTTGACCACAAAAGAATAATTTTGAATTTAGAAAAAAATGGATAAAACACTTAAACATACTTAACATTTTAAAATGAACTTAAATATACCACTAGACTTGAGCATACCTTCCATTGGCGAAAGTTAAATATAAACTCAAAAAATAAATAAATAAAAAATCCTATTTTGCCCTTCTATGTTTTTTAATAGATGAGTCCTTTTATTTTGAAAATCTGAAATTGACTTACCTACACCCGCACACTCACACCAATTACAGTAAACATGAGATTATTTTGTCTATGTTTACTGCCAAAGCCCAAAATAATACACCACCTGATCGAGTTCAACCGGACAGTAAGTAAATTTCAACCCAAGTGAACCATGAAATGCCCACCACCCAGGTGAACCACAAAACCCAGCTATTCATGATACAAATACAATAGGCCGAACAATCAATAATCTAAAACCAGAGGTTTTCTATCAGGCTGCATGTTTTCCCAAAAGAAAATGCCGCTTCAATTGTTAAACCCAGGTAAACCCAAAACCCAGCTCCAATAACAACTGTATAATACATCAAGAAGAATTATTCTCATGACTTTTTTTTCAAATTAGGCTTTTGTAACTCACAACCTAATAGTAACAATAGAAAGAGTTCTAAATGACTGAAATTATAAGTAAGAAAATGGTTTTATCTTCTCTTTGGTTTTTCTTTTTTTTTTTTGAAAATTTAAAAAAAAAATGGAGGATAAAAAAGTCATAAGGCATGTTTAAGTTCATTTTAAAATCTCAAGATATCTTCAAGTCGCTTTCTGAAAACTCAGGATATATTCAAGTCTTTTACCAAAAAAAAAAAAATTATATGACAGTTGGGGAGATGTTCCTAAGACTGTGTTTGGTTGCAGTGAAATTTTATTTAAACTAGTACGAATGATTTTACATTATTCTGCTTCATGTCTTAATTTACTTCATTTGCACTGCAACCAAACAAAGTAAGTTAAAATTTGAATCAAAGATGGATCAGAATTTACACTCAAGCCATTTGCACAGCCTAAGGCACAAGTTGGGGAGATCTTCTCTATCAAATCCTCAGGCTCAGTTCGGAAGAAGTACAAATACAAATATATAAAGTGCAAAACCTTGTATTTATCCTCTTTCCAAACTGAGCCTAAGGAACATGACTGAATTGAATATTGTTTTATGTGCATTGGGACTTCTAAGTTGGATTGAAATTGGAGACCTCTGTGTCTTCAATCTCATAGATCAGTGGACCAGAACCACTCTAATTATCATACCAAAAGGAAACTCCCCCTTTACAAACAATCCATTGACTATTCATGAACGCCACATCTTTAATTCGATCATCTCTCAACTAAAATTTAGAGTGAGGCAGTTTTAGTGAGCAGAGGAAACAATACAACGAATCCATATGGCTTAATGCGAGGCAGCTAAGTTTGATCAGCCCAAGCTCTAATTTTCATCAATCACTAGATCAAAATATTGATTCTTTGTTACTAATGCCACATACAAGTTATGATGCAAAATCGGTGTTCCATGATAAAATGCTTGTTGAATTATAGTTCTTTTCCCAACATGAAAATATCTCCCAGCTTACTAAAGAAGGGTGATTGCTTCAATTAGATGATCATAGCTTCCACAAGCTCCAGCATCTCTGGCTATGATGCAGGTTTACTAAGTTGCATCTTAAACAATAACAATTATGGTTTTACCGAAAGAAAACAATGAGAACTATGGAGGATTTATATTTATAAACACAACTTGAAAGAAAAATACAGCTCAAGGTTATTACCACACCAAGTGGCTGGTACAGGAAAAAAAAAGATTCCTTTCAATTTTATTCAATAACCTCAAAACAGCTTTTACAATATTTGTGTATGTAGCTGGGCATCATCCAAGCTGTCCCACATTGCCAACCATAGACTAAGCATTATTAATGACAAGGAATCACTCGGAGTAAGCTAAATGTTGATACAATAAATTACTTCTTTTTTCAGTTGACTCAAGTCAGTCTACCAGGTTGGAAATCACCAACACACCAGGGTTGCTAAGTAGTAAACCTCTAATCCACAATACAGACAACATTGTCAATGGAAATAAATCACTTGCGCTTGGTGGGGATTATATTTTTCTTGGAATCATGCTTGTAAAGCATCCTCCTTGATTTCTTCCTGCGCAAACTGCTTCTCTGACAACATGGCAGCATGCTGCTCTAAGTACTCGCTGCTATTCATCTCTGTTAACCTGCAGCACTCCTGAAGTTATCAACAGACACACGAGCAGAAAATGTCCACAATCTTTAACATTTTTTTGAAACCAAATTTAAAAATAATAATAATAATAGTTAAGGACTAAACAACTGAGGCAGGATAGCAAGCTTGTATTTTATTAAACTAATTTTATTCTCCTTTTCTTTTTTATTGGTAACTATGAAAATTTATTTATATTAAGAAAGAATGGGCATATACTATTTAGAAAATGGTCAGCTGACAATTTTTTAAACTAATATAATTCTTAGTTGATTAAAAGGCAAAGACAGAAGAAGCAACTGGAAAGTATTGTTCCAAGTACCATTTAGAAAATGACAGGATTTTTTTCATCAGAAAAGTATATATCAACTTTGAGGATAAACACTTGAATCAAAATTATATAAGGCAAAGAATCATCATTCTTTTGGAATGACGGGTATAACACAGCTCAAGTTCTGCCACTCAATGGTTCCACACCCATGAAATTGGCAAACATCAGTAGAATCAGATTATATGAGAAGAAAAATGAATAAGTTGAGAATGTTTTGCCCTCTACATGAAGATTTCTTTCTTTCCATATTTATTGTCCAAGTTTCCCATTGATTGAAAAGCTGTAGTTAATCAACATGTCAATTACAATATCATGCCATTTTTCAACAAGTAGAACATGCATGTCAAAGAATTCATGGTTCACTGTAAGTAGAGCCTGGTATAACCAAAAGTCCTATTCCATTTGTGGATAGGAATTTTGTCAGAGTGGTTGCTGAAGTGAACCGTGAGATATGGATTTGTTATCCACCTTTAAAAGTCATGGCTGCTAAGAATTTGCAGCTTTTTTTTCCTCTGATACATACCAATCCATTTGCAGTCTAATATGTCAAAAGTTAACAGTAAAACTGCAACTTGGATTTTATCATGAAGCATCCCCCATCTCAGAATCAAATAAATAAAATCATGCCACTTTTCTTTTGTGCCCTGCACACCACAGACAAGCATTTTAGCTTATCCTGTATTGTAGAGTATTTTATATGTCCAGCACTCAATCATATGTAGAAATTATAAATTATATAAGGCTTAAATTAAAGAAATCATTGTTGCACCATTCAAATGTTGAAGGAGCGATAGATTTCTAGATGGTAATAAAAGCAGGAGTTATAGAAAGTACACAGTTTCCACTTTGAAAGAAACTTCTTGAAACCATGAAATCATCAAGACAAACTATGGCTCTGCAGAAACTAAGCAACTGTTTTATGGCATGGAACCATACCGACTAATGGTACGATCTTTTGCAAATCCCAATTCATTGTCCACGCAAAGGTCAAAATCATCATTTTTCCTTGATCTGGAAGAGGTTCTAGGTGCCATGTTTTGGGCATCAGAGATGGTAACTATTCTTTCAAAAAGCTCAGTTGGAGTCCCCTCAGCCGTACACAATAGTCTGGCCCTGTTTTCATACATCACCTGTTAAACATTACAAAAAAAAGGGGAGAAAAAGGTCATTTTGGCTTGTTATAATCGAAATAACTTGCATAATAAATAATAATGATCAAAAATTAACTTGCATAATAAATGACCCAATTATAAAATTTCTAAAACAGATTTTTTGGCAATGCTCATTCTAAGAAGAGTTAAATGAAGGATGACATTTTCATTAACTTAAATTGTCCAGGATAATTAATATAAGATAGTTGCTCTTTATTAATTTGCATATGATTTGCTGCTTTTTACGTTATTTCCTTTGTGATTAACTATATAATATAAGATATTATCTAGTACACTAGGGGCCATTGCTTGGTTAAATGGTAAAATCTCGGGCTGGCAAGCATAAGAACATGGGTTCATGTCTAAGAGAAGCCACTTTGTGCAAAAAGATGCCGAAAGTTAAGTCCACATCCAGTGAACCCCTCACAAGACTCCAGATAGATGGGACCAACATTTGTGTAATGGCCTTTTTCTTAGTTGTCTGGTATATTGCCTAATGAAATGAGGCCTACACAATAAAATAAAGAGCATGAGAGACAACAAATGTTATTACCTGAAAATAGCACATTCTGAGAATCAAGTAGACTAGATCTTTTAAAATTAACACCATAAGCATCATGAAACATCATGGTCATGATTCAGATAAAGGATGAAAAGTGCAGTAGTTCTTATTTGCCAACCAAATTCATGTTTTAAACTTCACCAGACAAACTATTAGGCATCAATAAATAAATATATTTTCCTAGCATTGACTATTCATCCCTCTTTGAGCCCTATTTATTTCTGTAATGCCTTTACAGTTGTTAGGCCTTGGTCCATAGTGCTTTTCTTTATTTCTTTTAACAGCCGCCCTACGAGGGGCATATTTGTCTTTGTACATCCACTTCATAGTTAAGTATAAATACAGATAGAATGGGGCAGCCCAATGCTTTTTTGGCTCCCCCTTTTTCTCCTCTATTCTCCTCTTCTCCTTCCTCTTCTATTCTACTGCTGAAACCTATTTTCTGCTTAGTTTTCTTTTTTTATTTCTATTTCTTCACAGATTACATAATTCTACTTGTTATCAGAGCTTAGCTAGGAGCTTTTGGTGTGGCTTCATGCTAGTTTAGGATCAGCCAACTGCATGCAATAGAAAGAAGACTGATCACCCTCAGTTTTTGTGCCTAATTCTTAGGTTCGGTTGTTTCTTTCTGCTGTCCAAGGTGTCAGACCTAGATTACTGCCCAAAACAAGAAGATCAAAGAGAGGAAAGTAAGGATTTTGATAGAATTGAATTTTGGGATCCTTTTTGAAGAGGTGACTGACTTTTCAGGAGTTGTTTGACTCCTAATGGAGAATCAATTTCTGCCAGGGCAGCTTTTGACTTTACTGGAGTGATCGGTGGACCTGTTTATCTCTTCCCAGGTTACGGTTTCAAAGCAGATTTTTCTCCAAACTTTCCCTTGGAATTTTTCGATCTGATTTGATTAGTTTTATTTTGTGGGTGAGATCAATCTAGTAAGAAGCTTGTTTTGGTGTATCTGGAGAGGTTGATTGGAGCTTCTCCCTTTTACCATGATCCAGGGTTACTGGTTTTGCCTTGGAACAACCTCATACTCGGGTCAATTAGGTCCAGGAGTATTCCTATTACCTTTATTTGGTGCTTGAAATTGTTTGTGAAGCCATGATGCTGGTGGGAGTGATAAAAAGTGTTCCATTGATCACGGGATGATTCTGACAAGTGTTGGAGACACCCAGAATGTAGGGTTAACAACTACAGTGAAATTGAATGGTACAAACTACAAACTACTTGGAATGGGCTCAATCTACAAGGATAGCTATTGATACAAGAAGGTGGGGTATATCACTGGGGACACGACAAAGCCAAAGGATGCAAGTGCATCACATGCAAAATGGGTGCAGGAGAACTATATGGCTCCCTTCCCTTTTTTTTCTTCCTTTTCTCTTTTTTCTTCTCTTTCTTTCTTTTTCCTTCCCTTCCCTTTCTTTTCCATTTCTTTCCTTTCTTTTCTTTTTTTCTTTCTTTTTTTCTGTCTTTTTATATGAGATGTGCATGAGGCACATGAGGTGTACACCTCTAGCATGCCTTAGGAAGAAGGCGTAAGAGGTGTATGCCTCTTGCACCTAAGGCGTATGCCTCAGAGGTGTCAACGCCTTTGGCTTACACTTTAAGAGTATTTTAGGGTGCCTTGCTTGGATGTGCACCTCCAAGCGTACCCTTCCATGCCTTTTAAACACTGTTTACAATGAAGCACAAGGCTGGTGGTAGTATAGAGAGGTACAAGGCAAGATTGGTTGCAAAGGGGTAGACATAGACCTATAGTATTGACTATCTTGAGACCTTTGCACTTGTGGCAAAAATGAGTTTAGTTCATGTGCTTCCTTCACTTGCTGCCATCTTTTCTTGGCCCCTATTTCAGCTTAATGTTAAGAATGCTTTTCTACATTCTGAATGAGGACTTGCAGGAGGAGGTATATATGGACTGGCCAATAAGATTCTACAATGGTGTTGATAGTAAGAAGGTATGCAGACTGAGAAACTCATTATATGGTTTGAAATAATCACCTAGAGCCTGGTTTGATAGATTGAAAGGGGCTTTGAGCAAATTTGGTTATATAGACAAAAGTCCTATCATACTCTCTTTGTGAAAAGTAGAGGATCATTGTTAACGGTCCTTATAGTTTATGTTAATGATATTGTTGTCATAGGCAATGATCTTGAGGAGATAGATGTTCTTAAGAAATCCTTGCGACATGAATTTGAGATAAAAGATCTAGGAGAACTCAAATACTTTCTAGGAATTAATGTGACAAGGTCTAAACATGGGATCTTTATTTCTCAGCGTAAATATGTTTTGGACTTACTACAAGAAATAGGGAAGCTTAAAGTGAAACTAGTTGATACTCCAATTGATCAAAATCATAGGGTTAATGCTTTTGATGGGGAATTGGTTTAAAGATGTGGGGAGGTATCAGAGACTAGTGGGAAAATCGTTGTGTTTATGCATGACATGGCTAGAGACATGCTATGCAGTAAGTATGGTAAGCCAATACGTTCATGCTCCTTAGGCGACACATTGGGTGCCATTGATAGAATACTAGTTACTTGAAGAAGCATATAGGTTGAGATGTATTGTGTGTCAATCATAGACATGTCAATCATAGACATGTTTGGATGATAGGCAGTCCGCTTCAGATTTTTGTACTAGTCTCCTATAAAAGTAAGTAGTCAATGGTGGCCAAGTCAAGTGTAGATGCCGAATATAGATCTGTGGCTCATGGTGTCTTTGAGCCGCTCTAGCTATAATCTCTTCTAGGAGCGCTTGGTGTTGATGCAGAGCAGCCTACAATGTTGTATTGTGATAATTAAACAGCAATAAATATAGCACATAATCCAATTCCACATGATAAGACTAAACAAGTAGCAAGCATGCAAACACATATAGTCAATCTCAATGATTTGGTAGCATCAGGGATGGGAAGCACAGTCCTTTCAAATTGCAAGTACTCTCATAGATCTAAAACAATAGTTGATATGCAGTGAGAAGAACTGTGACGGACATCAACTAAAGTCACAAACCGATATGCTGCTGTCCTATTGTGGAGCCCAAAAATCGGCACACCATCCAATGCCAAGGTATGAAAATTCTCTGGCAGAAAAAAAAAATGAAACTAAATAAATAATCATGACATAAAGAAAATATCAAAACCATTAAGATATGCATCAAACCATATGTAACAAATAAAGAATTCAGACATTTCCTATTTCTTTTTCAGAAATTCTTTTCGGTATACATTAGGAAAAAAGAAAAATACAAAATGGTGATATATCCAGAAAAAAAAACCACAATTAGTTTACATGATTTTTTTTTATAATAATCATGTAAATTACTTTACATGATTATTATATTGGCTTAAACTTCTACCATAAAGACAAGAGGGTCTGCCCAATTGAAAAGTTGGTCGCAGACCTCCCTGTTTATTAATACACCATAGGTGATCTTACAGAACTCAGGCCATAAACCATCTCTTTCTCTGATATTTAAAAAAAAAAAATCATAAAATAGGACAAACTCTAGATTACACTCACTGAATAATCCAAAATAATCCGCTGCTCCTAGAGGTTTGTCACAGAGATCTTTAAAAGGAAAATATGCACATCCATTGGCTCCAAGTGGAACCTGGAAAGAAAGCAGAACTTGGTATGAACTGCCATAGAACAAAGTGAAGCAATAATTGTGAGAAAAGTTCCTTTTATAACCTGCAATTTTCTTCCCATAACAACTTCCACCTCTTGTGGAGTTGCTGTTTGTTCCCCAATTAACTGATGAAACTTTTCCTTAAGATGACCTGACGACATATCTCCAGTGAAATAAAAACCTTGCCTAGCCTACAGAAGTGTATGGACATGAAAAAAAAATCAAATTAGTACTAAAAAGGAAAAAGGACTTAGAGGCTGAAAAGAGCAAAATTTTTCAGTCAAATATATCCATAATTGGAACAAATATTTTACCGAAGTCATTTTCCTATAGTCTATCAAGGAACCAATTTCATGAACTACACATCTTTCCTGTGCCATTAAAATAACAAGATGTAAGTAAAGGGCGAAACATTCAGAGAAGGGGAGGAAGAATAGTAACATTATTCTGGAAATAATGCAATCATCAAATAATAACAAATGTAAATGCAAATCTCAGTCATTCAATAATCAAAACAATATCTGTTAAGTACCTTCAAAGTGGAAATGAATGGTAAGAAAAGATCCCTTTGCAGGCCACCTTCATAAAGGTTATCTGGAGCACGATTTGAAGTGGCAACAAGAACCTAATCTCCAAAATTCAGAATTTACACAACATAAGATTGACGAATTTTTCAAGCAGACAATCAACAGGATAATGTTGTATTCAAGGAATAGTGGAAAGATCTGGAATGTAGAGAAGGATATAAACTTCTTACAACACCATTGGTGAATAAATGTCCAAAAAGTCGGTTCAATATCAATGCATCAGCAACATCAGTCACCTGTAATAAGTCTCATGAGCAAGAAATTGAACAAATGCAGAAACTGTTTGCTACCATACAAGATAACTAAGCATGGTTACAATGCTATCTGAACTCACCATGAATTCATCAAGACATAATAAGATAGACTCATCTGATATCTCTCCTGCGACAACTTCAAGTGGATCCGTCACACCTTTGTGCCTCTGCAATTGTACAGAGTTCAAGTTTATTGGTTACATATGCATAATGCAAAGCCATTTTGGGTCTACAAGAGAAATGTGAAAGTTGACACTATGAACAAAGACAAGAGGACTTCATCTTTGATGCCTTCTTGGATGAAACCATAGCCAACCAAGAGGATGCAACCTGCAACCATCTCAGCCAGCCAGTCAAAAGCAAAGATAAGGAGAAACTTGGTGGCTGAAAAAGGTTACTGGCAGTCTGAAACATTGGACAGTTGAGAATGGAGGACTATCGAACTAGAATTACTTTTATAATGGTATAAATGTGGCTTCCCACCTATAACCAAACATTCCAAAAAAGCATTTTCTGTGGGCATCATATTGCATGGACATAAGACTCAAGTATTCCTATAGTGATGCATAGATCACTATAACGGAAAACTCAAAGATCTGTTTTCTTACCTGAAGGCGGCTATGGACATTTAACATAAAGTCATGGAAATGGATTCTCTTTTTCCTCCAGCTAGTTGGCCTGAGCAGGTGAAAAATACAAGTAAAAAACAATTTGCAAATTCAAATTCTGCAGAATTGAACAAAATGAAAATAAAAAAGTGACCAACAAATAGGTCTTTGAATTCTTTGAAGGTTATGGTATTATACTTAAATATAAAACCCAGAGATGGTGATTGCAATCGGTCTCTCAAACATTCCAAAGAAACAAATGGGAAAGAGTAACATTCCAATTCTGCTATCTCCCACTGTGGATATGATCATTAAAATGAAAAGATGGGCACCAAAGAAAAACGGAAACAATCCCATAGGTGAGGGAGCAAGGTTCTGTAATTTCTCTTACATATGTATCCATATTCTGTAAGGGGCTGCAGGAAACACCGATACATGGCTGTGTGAGGATTTGATAAAAGGAATCTACATGTGGGAGCATCAAGCGTTCAAGAAAATTGAAGCATTTCTGCGCATGGAAAATGAAACAGCCAGCCCAAGCACATGGAGGGGGGCATGGTGGGGACTGGGGAGTGGCTTGCTTGGCAAGCTTCTCCTCAGATAGTGGAAGGTACTTGTAGGTGCCTTCAATACGAAACATCAATGTATATTTGTGCTCTGTTAGTGGATACTAGAAACATCAAGATGTGATTATGAAGATTTCTTTTTCAATTTTGAATGCCAACTACTTCTGAAACTTCTTTTGAGTTCCAGGTATCAACAGTGTTTTAAAAGTGCAAGGGCTAATTTGCGCCTGAGGCACAAGGCACAAGACGAGGTGTGCGCCTTTTTAAGAAAGGCGCAAAACTACAAAAAAGAAAGCTAAAAAATAAAAAAAAGTCAGAAAATTCAAAAAATGCCAAAAAATTGCAAAAAAATCAAAAAAATATTAACATAATGTTAATAAAAAATATAAACATAAATTTTAAAATAAAAGTTTTAAAAAACCAATTATCTAAAATTAAAATACATAAACATAACATGTAAAGCATATTCAAATGAAAATTTAAAAATAAAAGCAAACATATAAAACATTTTCAAGCATGTAAAACCCACAATCTCTTTTTTTCCTTGATTGCATTACTTCAAGTTGCTAATGTGATGTAAAACATATTGCATTCTTGATACTATGAGTCGCCTTTGTACTACGCCCCTCGAGGCAAGCCTGAACAAGTCTATGTTAGGGTTTGAAATTCTCCCCCGGCCCAGCCGTTAGTCTCAAAAAAAAAGGCAAAATGCGCAAAATTTTAAAAAGGCACTCGCCTGGGCTGAGGTGCAAGGTGCATCAGACGCATGCCTAGGCACACCAGGCGTGCACCTTTTCAAAGGGGTGCGCCTAGGACCTGGGCGAGGCGCATACCCCAAAATGCGCCTCGCCTGTGCGCCTAGGACCTGGGCGAGGCGCATACCCCAAAATATGCCTCGCCTGTGCGCCTAGGCACACCTGAGGTGCGCCTTTTAAATCACTAGGTATCAATGTATATTTGTGCTCTGAGATTTCACTATGGAAAGGTATTCATGTAACCACATGTTTCCTTTTGAGTTTAAGGGACTTAAAGCTTGCCTTGAATCTACTTGTAGGTACCTTCAATATGAGGTATCAATGTATTCTTGTGCTTTATTGGTGAAAACTGGAAACATCAAGATGTATTTATGAATTATGAAGATTTCTTTTTAAATTTTGAATACCATACTACTTCTGAAACTTCCTTTTCTTTTTTTTTTTTTTTGATAGGTAATAGGGAACTTTTATTAAAACTAAGCAGAAACTTGTACAATGAGTTTCCCACATGAAGGCGCAAGGTGCAGCCTCAAAAACAAAAGTAAATTACAATTTAGCCCAAAAAAGATGATCCCTATGCAACCCTTGCTTAGCCAGACAATCAGCTAACCCATTAGCCGATCTCCTTTCCCACTGAATCCTTACTGTCATACTGGAGGTCAACCACTTAAACCTCTTCACAGCTTCCTTGTAGGTCCAAACAACAGTGTCTGGATTCCTTTTCCACCTAATCACCAGCTTCGAGTCCCCCTCAATGACTAGTTTATCAATATTCAACTCTCTAGCCAAGTGTACCCCCTGCAAAACATCTTGAAACTTAGCTCGGATTGAGTCTCCCTCACCAACAGGACCAGAGAACAAAGCAACTATACTGCCCCTTACATCTCTAAAGACATAAACATAAACATATAAAACATTTTCAAGCATGTAAAACCCACAATCTCTTTTTTCCCTTAATTGCATTACTTCAAGTTGCTAATGTGATGTAAAACATATTGCATTCTTGATACTATGAGTCGCCTTTGTACTACGCCCCTTGAGGCAAGCCCGAACAAGTCTATGTTAGGGTTTAAAATTCTCCCCCGGCCCAGCCATTAGTCTCGAAAAAAAGGCAAAAAGCGCAAAATTTTAAAAAGGCTCTTAACTGGGCTGAGGTGCAAGGTGCATCAGACGCATGCCTAGGCGCACCAGGCGTGCACCTTTTCAAAGGGGTGCGCCTAGGACCTGGGCAAGGCGCATACCCCAAAATGCACCTCGCCTGTGCGCCTAGGACCTGGGTGAGGCGCATACCCCAAAATATGCCTCGCCTGTGCGCCTAGGCACGCCTGAGGTGCACCTTTTAAATCACTGGGTATCAATGTATATTTGTGCTCTGAGATTTCACTATGAAAAGGTATTCATGTAACCACATGTTTCCTTTTGAGTTTAAGGGACTTAAAGCTTTCCTTGAATCTACTTGTACCTTCAATATGAGGTATCAATGTATTCTTGTGCTTTATTGGTGAAAACTGGAAACATCAAGATGTATTTATGAATTATGAAGATTTCTTTTTAAATTTTGAATACCATACTACTTCTGAAACTTCCTTTTCTTTTTTTTTTTTTTTTTTTGATAGGTAATAGGGAACTTTTATTAAAACTAAGCAGAAACAACTTGTACAATGATCCCTCATGAAGGCGCAAGGTGCAGCCTCAAAAACAAAAGTAAATTACAATTTAGCCCAGAAAAGATGATCCCTATGCAACCCTTGCTTAGCCAGACAGTCAGCTAACCCATTAGCCGATCTCCTTTCCCATTGAATCCTTACTGTCATACTGGAGGTCAACCACTTAAACCTCTTCACAGCTTCCTTGTAGGTCCAAACAACAGCGTCTGGATTCCTTTTCCACCTAATCACCAGCTTCGAGTCCCCCTCAATGACTAGTTTATCAATATTCAACTCTCTAGCCAACTGTACCCCCTGCAAAACAGCTTGAAACTTAGCTCGGATTGAGTCCCCCTCACCAACAGGACCAGAGAACAAAGCAACTATACTGCCCCTTAAATCTCTGAAGACACCCCCATTCTGAAACTTCTTTTTTCCTTCAAGGTCTTAATACAATTATTTGTTTGTTGCCCTGTTGTAAGAAGATTAGACAACAATGGTTTGTAAGGTTCTGAAAGTTGGGTTCAGATGCCAAGGATGATATGGCGGTAAAAAAGGTTATAGGGAATCAGCTGAAAGGGAGAATGCTTCAGATAAGTCCTCTCTAAGGAGATCAAATCCCCTAATTATAGAGAAAAGTTGTCCATGTGGGCTTAATTATCCCCTGAATATTCCAGAATGTTCTAAAAGTTGTTAAATACAGATGCAAATCCTAGGCTACCTCGGGTGGAGACACGTATCCAGAGGGGACCAGGTACTATCCCACATGGTTTTCCCTATCTCCTACACAATCTCACCATGTGGTGGAATCTGAACTGCTAGAACTCTCACACGTAACATGAGACTAGGTTTTCGTGAGTCTTACTGTGAGATTCACCATTTCACGACTTCAACAAGCATTGTGAGACCACACTTTGGCAAATCCCTCCATAGGATTCAATAGTTCACAAACTCAGAGCATTGCAAGTCCTGGAGATCTAGAACTAAAGGATGGTAGCAGATTTATGCGACGCTGTGGCAATATATCTACTCTAGTACTCCTACACCCATAAATTATAGTTGTAGTTGTTTGCTGAATGCATCAAGTGAAGCCTACAATTGTAATATCTTGGAACTCAAAGAAAGTATCTAATTTGGTGAGAGACTCATAACTCGGTCTTGAACATATCTAGATTTGATGCTCTTGACCAGAAATTTCTAGCATTCTTAAAAATTTCTTCACAAGTCACCTATTTAGTTGCCACCTATTATCGCATTAGTCCTTGGGATGTTGTTTGAGGAACAATATGTGGCCCTTCATGTATGCATAAAGATACCTATGGATCCCTTTTGGAACAATAACTGGTGCTGGGTCATATTTGCTCACACCTGCTCTTGCTAGACTGCTGACCATATAGTCTGTTCACCTTGGTATCAACCTAAATGACAAATTCAGATTGGACACCAAAGCTCTGACTTCCCTAATGATGAGTAATACTATTATAAAGAAACCATGTAAGCCTATTAGTTTTTCACTAATTTATTTCATTTGATTTGGGGCATTCCCTGCTTTATTTTGAATTGAAGACCATCTTTTATATATCACCTATGTGGTTTGTGAGACTTTAAAATTTTGACTATTGATGTCTCTTTATTTAGTATTCTGTTTCTATGGTTATATATATTTTCTTTACTTTTATGAATTATAACATAATTATGGTTAGAGACCAATAAAAAATGTTGGATGGTATAGACTATAGACCAATTCCCACAATATATGCCACGTATAGTGTGTTGCATCTCAATCTTAAGGAATCAATGGATCTATAGGATGCATAAACGTTGTGGTGTTTGACAAGCTTGAATACCATATTTCTAAGTACCTTTTCAAGTTATAATCATCAACAGAAAATAGTGTGTTCATTTTTTCTTCAGTTCTTCTTAATGCATAAACAAGCAATAAGTCATTCAGTTCAGCCATTTCAGTAAAGGAGTGCCAGAAAATAAATGGAAACGCATTGCTGTCAGAGAGAGAGACTCAGTGGAGAAGAAAGGTGTGGATTTTCTACTTTTCCCAATCATCACTGGTGGAGATGAGGGTTACAATTTAGTACAATCAAAGTCTTAGATATGTTGCAATGAAGATCATTTCTCTTGGGTATATGAACTGCTTGCTTGGAAATGGAAATTCAGGTTATGCATCCATTACATGTCATAATGATCATTTCATCCATTTCTTGTACAAATTTTATTTTGTTGTTTTCCTTAATGCCCTGCTCTATGAGTCAATGATAGTTCTACTTTCCTGGTTTTTCATTCACTTTCCCTATACTATTATATATTTAGGTCTTAAGCTCAAGTATTAGTCACCCAAGGTAAATGCCTGGAATTTACAGTGGAAAGGATTGGGCATTTGGCATTTCAATCACCTGAGCTACTGTTTTTCCGTTATAATGTTTTATTAACTTTCTTCTTTTTTCATACAATTATACTCTGAACATGACCTGTTCATTGTTTAAAAGCAGTCTCAACCCATCTGACTATAATTCATTTGGTAGATACACCTAAGGAACCTGTCTACTTTGATCATACAACTACACAGGTTATCACTCCAATAAGTTTCATTTCATGCTGTACTTGGAGAACCATCAAAAAAGATAAACTAGCTTTGTTATTTGTTTAAGATTTTCTGAAACAGCTTGCATTTTACTCATTGTTAGTTTGGATGGAAACAAAGGATTACAAGGTTTTTCAAGCTAAACAGCCCCCATTGTAATGTTGATCAACAAAGTTGAATGATTGTTGAGGTGGTGGGTGGGGTGTACTTGAGCATCCACTTGAGCCCCCATTCTGGAGTCACTTATGACAATTTCAGGGACTGAGGTGGTAGGTGGGCATCAATTTGAGCATACATATAGATATTGATTTATTTACTTTTCCTTGTATTCTTTTATTTTTTTAATGTTTTTCCTTTGAAAGACAGAACTTATCCCCCTAAAATATGTGCCACCTTTGGAGTCACAGAGGATCATTTTCTTTGCAATAGGACCCTTCACAGAGGTTCCACCTAGCAAGAAGGTAGAAGAGGGGGTGGAAAAGGATAAACTATATTGTAGTGGATAAGTTCTACAGCTCTTGTATCTTGTAACTGGTTTTGTGCAGCCTAAGATTCTGAGATGAGAGACCTGTATCATTCTCTTTTCTCATTATTAATAAAAGTTTGCCTTACCTTTTCAAAAAAAAAAAAAAAATAGTAGTACCATGCTATTTTGCAGCTTCTGGACACAAAGGAAATGACCAGTTGATCAAAGGGATCTCTATTAGATTTGTAAATTTGTATAATTCACTATTAGTCTAATATAAAAACTTATTGTTGGTTTAATATAAATTTCATTTGTTCTTTTTTTAATTTTAGACGTGAATTTTTATTTGTATAATTTTTTTTGAAAAGGTAAGGTAAATTTATTAGACTAAAACTTTAAGCATACAAAACAGAAACCTGCCAACAATAAGGTAGGCCTGACTCCTAAGGACCCCCCATTACAAACACCAAATTGACTGATTTCTCAGTCACTGAGCTACATTTACATGTTTGAATTCTGGGGTGACTTATAGCTAAGGTATAAGTCCTGTAAGTTTTGTATATGTAACAAATATGTCTTCAAGAGGATAAAAAATCATTTTTTAATACAACAATATTTAGAGGTAGCCAGTACCATTTCCCTTCTCATTTTTCCTGAGAAGCAGGGGCCCCTTGCTAGTATTGGATCTGCTTTAGCTTGAAAGGACATATATTTGATCAAAATGGGAAAGGAATGGCACAATTTAGTATACTAAAATTCTCTTTTTAGAATACAAACCCATTCCCCTTCCCAATGTTAATTTGCTTTGGGGTTCTATGGACGAAGCAATCATAGAGGTATACCAAACTTACAATTGTTCAAAAAACAAGTCCATCAGCATTGTCTTCCCCGTTCCCACTCCCCCATAGAGGTAAAGTCCTTTGACAGGTGAGTACGAAAACTGTGGAATGAATCTGGACCACAACCACCTACTCCTGGAACAAGATGGAATGCACAGTCACTACAGAACAGGACATGGATGTAGAAAGAAAAAATAAACTAAATATTTTTCCTTTAAAAAAAAAACGTTCTGGCCTGGAGTAAAGAAAGTGGCAAGATAGGGTAATGAGATAATGGATGGTACACCTTGAAGATTTATCAGAAGCTGCATAGCGATCCAGCTGACAGGCATCAGCAGATTCAACAAGCCTATCATATAGTCTTTGAAGTTCTCTCAAGGTTCCAACCTGCAAACATTGCTGTAAGAATATTTTCCCAACAAGGACAGCAAAAACCATTGAGCAATAAGGCCTCTTGAGAATCTCATATAATTCAGTGAATGGTACAGGCAGCTTTTAAACATACAGCTAGCACTTTGGTGCAAACCTTCAAATTGATGGGTGATCCCCATGTCTCAAAATCACACCAATGGGATCCTTTTAATTGGCTACCTGTTTATTTTTGAAATTGCCATCATGAGAATAGCTCATATAAAAGAAAAGTAAAAGAAAAGGAAAAAGGAAACCATTGTCATCACATATTTAGGATCATCACTGTTGTGATTTTGAAGATGCTGTAGGAATCACCCATTATTGGACAGTCTAAGTTGATGGCATATATGCCTATTAGAAGGATGTAAGCAACCAATAACACTTAATAAAAAATAAAAATCAATTCCAGATTCATTCTCTCAAAAACTTGTTACAAACTTCAACACAAATATGAAAGATCCGTTGGAGACTGATAAATTTACCTGACAACTATCGCCATCCACAAGTTCCCCTGCAGCAATTCTTCGTTCATACTCTACAAGAGGACCTGCTTTTCCAACATCTGCAATCGAACTGTCCAAGTGAAATTCAACAAACAATGACAAATTTGTGTTTTGTATGTTCGAAGATTTACTAATTAAGTTGTAGCGGGAATACAAACCTCCACTGGTGTCTCTGGCGGCAGGGCTGCACAGAGTTCTTGATATCATAATGGGTTGTGAGTATCCACCGATTTCATCAATATAGGATCCTCGGTAGGTACTAACTGAAACTGGATTGACCAAGGTTGTTTGCCTTCTCGACAAACTACTAAGAAAATTATCTCTTTCACGAAGCCGTGAAGCAGCCCGAACATGGCGAACAGCTCGAGTTATTGTTCTCATCTTCAATCAAATACTCAAAAGAATCTGTACAAACTTATCCAATATAAATAACTATAGCTTCTGATAGACTACTCAGGCAGCTTCCAAATTACGCGCTGCAACAATGAGACACAAAAAGCAACAAAATAACATCCAACGTTAATTCATCACCAGTCATAAAAAATGGGAACCTTTCTAAATTAAAACATAAAATTTGTGCCAACGTGAAAAAGGAAAAATATGAACAATCACCGAAAGTAACTTCTAACTAATCCAAAATTTAATACTGAAATGATGATACAAAAAGGAAAAGAAAAAAAGAAAAATAGTTTCTTTATAATCTAAACCAAAAAACAGAGCTACACAATCACCAAAAATCAACCTTGAATGACAATAAAATTCCATCATTATCACAAAAGTTCCTTTTAATCCCATCTCCCTTTAACACCAAATAGCAAAATAGAAAGAAAGCAAATCGTGTCCAGAAAAATTAAACCTGCTCGATCAATGAAGAAAATAGTAAAGAAAAATCAAAAGAATTACGTACCAGATTCTCTAGCGGTCCCCGGAAGACCAGACGACCATCTACAGCTCTAAAGTTCCGAATAAAAATCAAAGAAATATCTCTTTTTAATTCTCTATATTTTTTGTTGTTTCTTATTATCCTTGGAAGGCAGCCTGATGCCGAATCAACCCTAGTTTTCAGATAAATCGACGCAGAGAGACAGAGATTGCTTGCTTTCAGATTCCCCTCTTAAAGAAAAAAAAACGTGGTTTTTCACTGTTTGACTCACTCCATCTCCACGCTGGACGGACGAACTTCGATTGTTTGCTGGAGTTCTATTTTCTCTCGTTTACTCGATACGTTTCGGAATTGACAGTCCCAGCTGAGACAGGTGCCATCGCCTACTTCAATGAGAAGTTGAGAACTTCATAATCAACGTCCTCCGTCGGTTTCGGGTTCGGTTCGAAACGGATCCAAATACCAATTTGGCCCTCCTCGTGGTCATGGATCCCACCGGCACGGTGTCCGAGAGCGCAAGATCCGTGAACCGTGACTCGCTGCTCGGCTCGCGGAACGAAGAAGAGTACCCACCCAAATTCTCGTTGTGCTATTGGATTAACAACGTCCGCACGATTAAAGTGCTGTAGTCAACGGTAGTGGGTGGTCCTTGGAAACTACGTATCGCGGTTTTCCTTGGAAAGTGAACGGTTGAGATGTACTCCGACAGGACTGAACCAACAATTTTGGAAACTTTTTTTATGGGTAGAAGCAATTTTAGAAACAAGAGGAGAATTACTCGGACATCCATGTAATGTAACAAATGAAAGAGAATGATTCGGTATTGCGGATAGTATTATAATGACAAAGGATGGTAGGATGAAGTAGGCCCCCCCGTAACTTAAGGATATGATTGCTTGTACGCTTTTTAAGTGGGAGGTGGGCCTCACCTCCCAAAATTGAAAGCCACCGCATATAAGCTCTCCCAAATGTAGGGATGCAAATGCATCATATTAATTTGATTTATTTGGATTGGACGTCACATCACGGTTGTGTTGGATCAAATAACTAAGAAGTCACTTTCTTAAGCTCTCCCACTTACTATCCTGAAGGCATTAGAGCTGAAGATTTTGTACATCTTTCTTGTTATAATATATATTTTGTTATTCTTCAAAAAAAAAAGTCACTTTTTTAATTTCTTCATTTGTACAATAAATAGAAAAAAGGTTAATTTATTATAACACCCCTTATATAGTTTCACAAATTTAATGAAATATGTCATATAGTTTTATTTTATTAAAACACCCCTTATAATTTGCAAATGTTTACTTAACCGACCTAGTAAAAACTATTTATTTTGCCATTTAAAAATAATAACATAATCACCTAAATTAAGTGGAAAGTGTTCAAGGGCACGAACCCATGGTTGTTTATTCCAAAGATATCAGTGGGAAAATATTCAAGGGTATGGATCTATGGTTATTTATTCTAGAAGTACCCCTAACACTTTTTCATATAAGAAACAAAATGGACCAAATAGAGAAAAATAGAGTGGTTGTTTGCATGGTTTTTAAAACCAACCCGGAGAATGAACTGGTCAGGGGTCCAGTTCCTGGGTCGAATGGTCCGATCATTCAAACTGAACGGTCAGCCCATTTTGACAAAAAAATTAAAATGGTCAAAACCGTTCGGACGGTTAACCGCTCGGGTCAGCGATTTGCTGACCAAAATCAACGGTTTTGGGGAAAAATCCGATTTTTTGGAAAAACGAAACCGGTCACCTGACTGATTCCCGGTTTTTCCGGTCCGATTTTGAAAACCATGGTGCTTTATTAGGGGTAAAAATGGTATTTTTGCTTTTAGTTTCTTTTGATTAAGTTTATTTGAATGGACGTTAGAGTTAAAATTGTTGTTTTCCACTTTCATCTAATGGAAGGTTAATTAAGTAAATTGATATATAGGTCAATTAAGTAAATTGATTGCAAAATATAGGGCATGTTTTAGTAAAACACAAACTATAGGATAGGTTTTATTAGGGGATGTTTTAGTAAAACACAAACTATAGAGAAAAACAAAGTGGTTATTTGTGCTTTATTAGGAGCAAAAATGGTATTTTTGTTTTTAGTTTCTTTTGATTAAGTTTATTTGAATGGATGTTATAGTTAAAACTGTCATTTTCCACTTTCATCTAAGGGAAGGTCAACTAAGCAAATTGATTACAAAATATAAGGGATGTTTTAGCAAAACACAAACTATAGGATTGGTTATAGTAAATTCATAAAATTATAGGGTGTATTTTAGTAAATGATCCTATAAAAAATTAAAAGAATTTCCCCATGTAGAGCATGGGCCATTTTATTGTGCATTCATAGCTAGTGATCTATTATGAATTGGGCTGAAGAACTTATTGGAAGAGATCATCCAAAGCAAATCGGATTTCTTACCCATACTCTAATAAGGATGGATTCAAGCCAAGCCGAATATTTGGCTATTCAAGTTCGGCTTGACAATAAACTATTAGGTTTGAGCTCAATTCAAGATAGAGACTTGAGTTCGAATTGGCTTGAGTTAAAAGCTCGTAAGTTCAAGTTCAGTTCGGTTTAAGTTCAACTATAAGTCAAATGTTTTATAAAAATAAAAATATATATAATTATTTTTTATTTAACATATAAAATGAAGAATTATAAAAATTAGTTATTATATATAAAAATATTATATATAATACTTTTTATTATGTATAATATTCTTATTTTTATTATATGTATGTATGTATGCATGTATGTACCCCCCCTACTACTCTCTACCCGCAATCTACTGGCCTTGAATTGTAGCCACATACTGCCATATTGTATTGTGAGGTGTAAAGTTGCAATGTATTGTAAGTAGGGTGCAGGTAGAGAAAGTGAGTAGGAAATCTGTACACCATCCAAAGAGCCCAGTCTATGGCAAGCTCCTACAACTCAAACACTATCCTCAATTCACTAGTAAGCAGTATCCATGAGTCAACACAGTTTAACCCTAGAGCATATTATTAGATCAAACCTCCTTTGGGTATCATTAAGTTTGATTTTGATGGAGCCACATCAAGAACTACATATGGATTTGGCTTCTTTGGCAGTCCAATGTTGATGGGCACCCCCTTTTATAGCTGACCTTACCATGGAATGGTTGGAGGCAATTAGAGATGGACGGCTAGGATTTCATCCACTAATGCCATTTGGTGTAATATGGGGCCTGCCATGTGCGCCTACATCAATTATATAGTTGATTAGTTTCATACTTTTATTTATATTTTTATTTTGACTTAACCAAACAGTTAAGCCGAAAGTCTATTTAACCTGTAACCCAATCACTGAGGGAGTGTTCACTAGTGTGGTCTCTCTATATAAGGTGAAGGTGTGGTGTGTTGGATGGTGGTTGAAATCACATGATCTGAACCATGACACTTAATAATATGTTCAGTACTATGGTGTAGATGTATTGTTAGCAAAATTTAAAACGAAACTTTATAATCATTTATGACATTGTATATACTAATCATCCTAATCCAATTTATGGTGGTGTAGATTGATCCATGGAGTGTTTTATAGCCATGTAGAATATCTACACTACAAAATACCCCCTAAAATAGTTCAATGTCCGTAAGACTAAGAGTTAACAGTTCAATGGGTTTCTCCATCTTCATTGACTTTAAATGCTCATTTTGGAGAACTGAATTGAACATTAAACTTGTTAGTTGCTTTGAGTAGGGATGGCAATGAGCCGAGCTTTTCACGAGCTGCTCGAGCTCAGCTTGGCTCGGTTTCAACCGAGCTCGAGCCCAATTCAATGGCTCAATTATTAAACGAGCCGAGCTCGAGCCTATTAGAGCTCGGCTCGCGAGCCGACTCTTATATATAAAATAAAATTATAGAAAATAGTATATATAATAAAAATAATATAATTATTAATTATTATAATTTCTTACTTTTAATATATAATTTTTAGTTTTATAAAATATTTTTTCTCAAAATCAACGTCGAGCTTAAGGTTCTGGCTAAAACCGAGCACGAGCTCGAGCCTTGTAGAATAGTCTCAAGCCGAGCCCGAACCTGATACTATTCGGCTCGGCTCGGCTCGAATCCAACCCTAGCTTTGAGGCACTTTGATTAAACTATCAAAAGAGATTGAAGCGAACAGTCCAAAAAATGACTAATTCAGAGAATTTTGGCTTGGTGGATTTTTCTCCAAACATAACATAAAGGCTTATGTAGGATCCACTTTGAAAAGCTAAAGACTGCTGTACTTCAGAGTTCAGCCCTTACATTGGGATCCACTGACTGCAATTCACGACAAGTAAAGAGTGAATAGGAAAAGTGAATAAGAAACCTGGGTTCTTTCAAATGGGCATTGAGAGTGAAGAAACATCATGATATGATACATAGATGTCACTATATATATATACATTAATTAAGGTGGCTTGCACCAAGATAGCTTATCTAAATATTCATTTTCCATTTCTTTTTTAATGAAACTTGTGGCTAAGGTAGAGTGGGAGATATCAACTGAAGAGGACTGTTATGACCCACCTTTGACAATATCCTCTTCAAAGGACTGTTAAAATACCTTCACCGGTTCACCCTACACTTGAAAAAAAGGATTCAAAACAACTTTCGACAGTTATTAGAATATTTATCAAGTGCTTGTTAAATGTGCTTATTATATTGGGCCTATTAGATTCGGACTCCTTCAAAATAGGTTATAAATCGAATTGCTCGATTTGAAGAATTTCAACTATTTTAGATTTGAATGATGATTCGGCTCCATTGAAAATTTAACAAATTCCCAATTAGACATTATCTCAATTGCACTACTGCTATGATTGCGTCCATTGTAGGGATTTTTAGGGCTGCCAGTCCCCTTTACCCACAATCCTCTGGTCTCGAACCTCGGTGACAGCCAGATTTAATACCAAATATCTGCTACAACCAGTAACCAAGCACCTTACCTTAGCACCACTGATTTGTTGAGTTTGGATTTGGTCAGGCCTCTTGTAAGCTTGTATTAAGAATATTTACCCATGAAATAAAACACATAACTAGGGAGATATTCTTAATGCAAGGATATAAAGATTGTTCGAACGGGTTTTATCTGATCAAAGCTGAATTCTGATTTATAGCGGTTTGGGGGCACAAGGAAACTGGACCACTATGTCTATTTAGAAGTGTAAAGTGGGTCAGGCCAGGTTGACATAACACGGTCCGTGGGTTGTTACGGGCCGTGCCGCCCTCTCCAATGAAAATTTTGGGGATCAGCCTGGCACAACCTATAACCCAGGCTTATGTGGGCCCATGTCACGGGTTGGGCTGGCCTGTGGGCCGAGCATTGGGCCAGGTTGGGCCGTGCATCGAGCCAAAACTATT